AGACTGTTCTCAAACTTTCAGAGTTTAAAACGACATAGAAAGCATCATCATAGGCAGATATGGTATAAATTTCTTAGAAGGGTCATATGATTGGCATATAGCCAGGCATCTAAGATGCAACTGTGCAAATAATTGCTTTGTCACTATCAGGTAAAAAAGAATTAAAATAAATAAATAAACAGCAAATCTTTTATGGAGAATGGAATTTTAAAAACTACTTCTGCTTAATTTTAACATAAAAACCATATTAGGTATTATTTTAAAAGGAGGTGTTTTTTCAAAATGGAAAAAAACCCAAAACCACGAAAGAAAATTTGCCAAAAGTTTCAGGTGATCCATATCTATATTGCAGAAAAGAAATGTCTTGACCAATATTTGTTGCTCAGTACTTACTGTGCTAACATTATTTAACACTACTTTTCTTTGAAGTTATCATATTGCTTTAATTTTCCTAAACCTGCTTCTCCACAACAGTTTAAACTAATTTAAGGCAGATGCTGCCAGTATCCTGTCTTTTTTCTGCCAGTGCTAGGGCCTATGCAGCCAGATGGTTCAAAATCAGTTAATTAGTCTTAACTTTCTTTCATCTGGGCAAGATACTGGATCTAGTTTATCATGTTTTCAAATATCGATTACAGCTAACAAGAGTGGGCTGAAATATATAGACAGAAAGAGGGAGAGAAGGAGAGAGAAGGAAGGTAAGACCAAAGTGGAAATCAGAGTAATCTCCTTATGGCAGTAGCTTATTCAATTGTTTCGTGGCACTTGACTTATTTTAGGTAAATTCCAGGACTGATTCAAGTTTGTCATCACATTTTCTATGCTATTAAATCCTTCCTCAAAGAAAACTGTTCAGCTTCTCATCAATAATCTGCCTCCCAAGAAGGAATAACTATAAACTCATAGCACGAACAGTTGCTTTATTGTTAGAATATTCTTATTAATCACATATTTTTCTTTTATTTTAATCAATAAAATTAATAATTTGTAAACAAACAATAGTCATTTGACTAGCTTCGATAGCAGCAGATTTACGATCAAAAAGAGACTTTTCATTATTCCCAGCTCTTAAATTAATATTAACTACAGTCTTCACAGAGGTCATTCCTATGGACTGAAAATGACCTGAAAACAAGACTTTTACAAAATTTTAGGTGGGTGTCATCACGTTTATGCAAAATTTTTTTCTTATCCGGTGTACTTATTCTCCCAAACTGGATTCTATTGAAAATCATTATAACAACAGCAGTGAGAACACTGAAAGGCAAAAAAGACATAATCATTCTAAAAACAAATCAAAATAACTTTCTCATTGTGATAAAAAAATTTGTCAATATTATATGGTAATACTTCATTTGCTTTCTGCACATATTGAAAATATTTCCAACATGCTGCATCTAAGTGATGTAAAGTACTCACAAGTAACAGCAGAAACTGAACATCGTCTCAAATTGTTGATAAATTTGATGTTTTATGCACTTTCGTCTGAGATTTTGTTGCTAGTACACTTCTAAATATAATATTCACAGAATCACAAAACTCTGATAGAGTCCCTCCCCATCTTTCCTGCAGGCCCCCTTACATTCTGGAAGGCCACTGTAAGGTCTGCCCACAGCCTTCTCTTCTCCAGGCTGAACAGCCCCAACTCTCTCAGTGTTTCCACACAGGAGAGGTGCTCCAGCCCTCTGATCATTTTTGTCGTGCTCCTCTGGACATGCACCAACAGCTACTTGTCTTCCTGTGCTGAGGGCTCCAGAGCTGTTAGTCCTGCCTCGAGCAAAGGTAAACCTGTCCGTGGCTTTGCTTTTGCTCAAGGCCTTTCAGTACCTGAAGGGGGCCTATAGGACAAATGGGGAAAAACATTTTAGCAAAGCCTGTTGTGAGAGGACAAGGAGTAATGGTCTTAAACTAAGAGAGGGTAGATTTAGACTAGATAGAGGGAAGAAAATTTTTACAGTGAGGGTGGTGAAACACTGGAACATGTTGCCTATAGAGGTAGTGGAGGCCCCATCCCTGGAAACATTCAAGGTCAGGTTGGACGGGGCTCAGAGCAACCTCATCTAGTTAAAGATGTCCTTGCTCACTGCAGGGGGGTTGGGCTAGATGACCCCTAAAAGGTCCCTTCCAAAGCAAAGCATTCTATGATTAGGGATCTGTAACAATCTTATTGCTTGATTTGTCAGCTCAATGCTTGCAACATCGAATAATGCCAGCTTTAGCAACTATTAATTCTCCAGCCCTTCCTTCTCTCTCTTCCCCTAGCCCCTGTCTTGTTTGACTCTGTATCATTTATTTAATTAAAAAAAAAAAAAAAGGGGTTTTAAAACAAATATCTGTTCAAATGTCATCTGTAATTGATTGGCAGGTTTACATGCGGTAGGAACCCTTGAACTGTTAAACAGTTCAGCAGCTTTAAATGAAGAGTGATCAAATTACATGACTGCCTCCACACACAGGCTATTTGTTAAATGTGAAATCAAACTCTCATTAAGACATTCTTCACACATTTCCTTTTCAAAAGCAAAATACCTTAGTCTTATGTATTAAATTGTCTGCCTTTCGGAGTCAGAATTTAATCCTGTCTAGTTAAACCAGGAAAATTCATCATGTACTCGGTTCTATCAGACGTGGTCAAAATTAAGAGTGAATGTAAATTAAATATTTTCCCAAAAATGTGCAGGTTTATTTGGTAGTCACTCAAACATAAAAGCCAAGAGTATCACAGGGAGACAAGACAAGATGAATTATGCATATATTCTATAGTTAAACTTGCCTCTTAGTAAGGAAAATGATGATGTTAAACATCTTTTTGGAAATATACGCTGAAGTATCCCTGGGAAAATGCAGTGTATTAAACTCTAACAAACCAGACTTTCATGACAGCATCATCTGAAGACCTGTTTATAAACAGGTCTGTCTTATTGACAGACCAACAAGGAGAGGTGGGGGAGTTGCTCTATATGTGAGGGAGCAACTGGAATGCATTGAGCTTGGCCTGGGGGCAAATGAGGAACGAGTTGAAAGCTTGTGGGTTAGAATTAAGGGACAGGCTCACACAGGTGACATTACGGTGGGTGTATACTACAGGCCACCTGACCAGGAGGAGGAGGTTGATGAGGCCTTCTACAGGCAGCTGCAAGCAGCCTCACAGTCACAGGCCCTGGTTCTCATGGGGGACTTCAACCACCCTGACATCAGCTGGGAAGACCATACAGCTAGGCAGGCACAATCCAGGAGGTTCCTACAGAGCATCGATGATAACTTTCTGATGCAAGTGGTGGAGCAACCAACAAGGAAAGGCGCGCTGCTGGACCTCGTGTTAACAAACAAGGAGGGACTGGTGGAGGACGTGAAGGTTGGAGGTAGACTCGGCTGCAGTGACCATGAAATGGTCGAGTTCAGGATCCTGCATGGAGGAAGCAGGGCGATAAGCAGGATCAAAACCCTGGACCTCAGGAGGGCTGACTTTGCCCTCTTCAAGGAGCTACTGGGAGGAATCCCGTGGGCCAGGGCTCTCGAAGGCAGGGGGGTCCATGAGTGCTGGTCGCTCTTTAAACAACACTTCTTCCATGCACAGGAGCAATGCATCCCCCTGAGAAAGAAATTTAGCAAAGGAGGCAGGAGACCTGCATGGTTAAACAAGGAGCTTCTAGCGGAGATCAGGCAGAAGAGAAAGGTCCATGGAATGTGGAAAGAGGGACAGGCCACTTGGGAAGAGTACAGAAACGTAGTGAGAGCATGCAGGGATGCGACGAGGAAGGCCAAGGCCCACCTGGAATTGAAGCTGGCAAGGGATGTCAAAAACAACAAGAAGGGCTTCTTCAACTACATCAGCAGCAAAAGGAAGGCTAGGGACAACGTGGGGCCGCTGCTGAATGAGGCGGGTGTCCTGGTGACGGAGGATGCGGAGAAGGCAGAGCTACTGAATGCCTTCTTTGCTTCAGTCTTCAGTGCTAAGACTGGCCCTCAGGAATCCCAGGCCCCGGAGGGAAGAGAAGAAGCCTACAAAGAGGACGACTTTCCCTTGGTCGAGGAGGACTGTGTGAGGGATCGCTTAAGCGATCTGGATGTCCACAAATCCATGGGCCCCGATGGAATGCACCCACGAGTGCTGAGGGAGCTGGCGGATGTCATTGCTGAGCCACTCTCCATCATCTTTGAGAGGTCCTGGAGGACAGGAGAGGTGCCCGAGGACTGGAGAAAGGCCAATGTCACTCCAATCTTCAAAAAGGGCAAGAAGGAGGACCCAGGGAACTACAGGCCGGTCAGCCTCACCTCCATCCCGGGAAAGGTGATGGAGCAGCTTATCCTGGAGGCCATCATGAAGCAAGTGGAAGAAAAGAAGGTTATCAGGAGTAGTCAGCATGGATTCACCAAAGCGAAATCATGCCTGACCAATCTGATAGCTTTCTACGATGACATGACTGGCTGGGTAGACGAAGGGAGAGCTGTGGATGTTATCTACCTTGACTTCAGCAAGGCTTTCGACACAGTCTCCCATGATATCCTCCTGGGGAAGCTGAGGAAGTGTGGGCTGGATGAGTGGTCGGTGAAGTGGATAGAGAACTGGCTGAATGGCAGAACTCAGAGGGTTGTCATCAGCGGCGCTGAGTCTAGTTGGAGGCTGGTGACAAGTGGTGTCCCTCAGGGGTCAGTACTGGGCCCAGTCTTGTTTAACTTCTTCATCAACGACCTGGATGAAGAGTTAGAATGTACCCTCAGCAAGTTTGCTGACGACACCAAACTGGGAGGTGTGGTAGATACACCAGAAGGCTGTGCTGCCATTCAGCGTGACCTGGATAGGCTGGAAAGCTGGGCAGAGAGGAACCTGATGAGGTTCAACAAGGGCAAGTGCAGGGTCCTGCACCTGGGGAGGAACAACCTCATGCACCAGTACAGGCTTGGGGTGGACCTGCTGGAGAGCAGAGAGGGACCTGGGTGTCCTGGTGGACGACAGGTTAACTATGAGCCAGCAGTGTGCCCTGGCTGCCAAGAAGGCCAATGGGATCCTGGGGTGCATCAAGAAGAGTGTGGCCAGCAGGACAAGGGAGGTTCTCCTTCCCCTCTACACTGCCCTGGTGAGGCCTCATCTGGAGTACTGTGTCCAGTTCTGGGCTCCCCAGTTCAAGAAGGATGAAGAGCTACTGGAGAGAGTCCAGCGGAGGGCTACAAGGATGGTGAGGGGACTGGAGCATCTCCACTACGAGGAGAGGTTGAGGGAACTGGGCTTGTTCAGCCTGAAGAAGAGAAGGCTGCGAGGGGACCTTATAAATGCCTACAAATATCTGAAGGGTGGGTGTCAGGAGGATGGGGCCAAGCTCTTTTCAGTGGTGCCCAGTGACAGGACAAGGGGCAATGGGCACAAACTGAGGCACAGGAAGTTCCGTCTGAACATGAGGAGGAACTTCTTCCCTCTGAGGGTGACGGAGCACTGGAACAGGCTGCCCAGGAAGGTTGTGGAGTCTCCTTCTCTGGAGATATTCAAGACCCGCCTGGACGGGGTCCTGTGCGGCCTGCTGTAGGTGACCCTGCTTCGGCAGGGGAGTTGGACTAGATGACCCACAGAGGTCCCTTCCAACCCCTACTATTCTGTGATTCTGTGATTCTGTGGTGATTCTGTGATTCTGTAACAAAACAGCTTACAGGATTTTTGGTTTTCCTCATTTGCACTGCCCAGGGCAGTGAGCAAACACATGTAGCCTACAGTCTAGTCACATAATATAAGCCTACCAAATCATGTGAGACTGCCTTGCCTGCTTTAGCCTAATCTAGACGGCATTAACGATTTGCACCTGTATAGGCAACCAGATACGTCTACATTCTCATCTGTAACTTAAGCCTCAAAGTGTCTTTCTTCCAAAGTTGACAGTACTGAGAAAGACTGAACTTTTAACAGATTCTGCTAGGTTCTCTGAATCCTTTCCAAATTTTCTGCCTCATTTTTTGGTAAATCTTATTTCCCATCCCTGAGAATACATTTTAATCCAGCTCCCTGTCCCCCACCAAAAGCAAGATTATTCAACAAGTTTATTCAATTGCAAAGATAAATTAATTTGTACTACTTCTATACCTGTAAACTGGAGGTAAGATCAGGAACTCCAAGAGTTGTAAGCTTTCACAATATAGGCTTTTCCCCAGCAAGTAACATTTCTTGGTACAGAGATATACAGAGCAACCACTTTTGCATTTACAGCTCCTAGGAAATCTGCTCCTGTGCTGCACTGTACTCCCAGCATTTTTTCCAATGTCCAATCCGAATAGTCTCAAGTCATGGTTTTTGGTTGCTGTCCTCTATCGTATTGTCTGGCACTACCACATGGAGTCTGACACCATCATCTTTAAGACCCCTTTCATGCAGTTGTAGGCTGCTACGAGGTGGCCCTTTAGCCTTCTCCTTGTTGGTCTGAGCAAGTCCCCCCACCGCCAGCCTCTCCTCTTAGCTTGTCTGCTCCATGCCTCTAGCCATCCAGCTGTGTATAGGAACCTCACATTACTGCCTGTTGAGCTTCAGTTAAATAACTTTTAAAAATATGCATAATACCACATCATGAAATTAATTCTATTTGTACTTTGAGGTGCAAATAGAAACACTAACGTGTGTTTCAAGACATGGAAATCAGAATAGTTTACTCAAAGATGAGAGAGCAATAGGTGCTATTGTATCTTTGAATTTTTGCCCTTTAATTTTTGATTTGGGATATTCAGCTCCAGTATTATTTATCCATTCATCTAAACCTTCCGTAATTATTGGCCTATTACCTTCCCATGACAGAAATGCCCTAATTAATAAATGCTAACTCAAAAACTCCGTATTCCTTTGTTTACAGGAAAGACAATATTGAAGTTTTCCACTCATACATTGCATTACTTGTATGAGTGACTATATCCCTTGACATGATTCTTAAATCTCATGATCTCAGAAGATCATGGAAATACTGAGGAACAGACATTGATGTTCTCTGTTTTTCATATGCAAATATATAAATATGATCTCAAACCTCTTGCTCCAGCTGTAGAATTATCAGGTGTCTGCAGTTTTATGCTGAAAAAAACCCAACAATTTACTGCCTCTTTTTGCAATCTATTTGATAAATTAAAATAATAAATATTTGCATCATGGGAAGAATGGTTCCATTTTTCTTTATGGACAGAAAAATATTTCTGTCAAAAGTCCCATATTTCAGCTGTCTAGTCTTACCTTGCATTGACCCCATGCAGCAAATTTAAATATCAGCTTTACCCCAGAGAAAATATTAGTTCTTTTAAGCCTGAGGTCTAAATAGACTGTCAAATATTTTCAAATGTTGTTGTCATTTGAACGTCAAAAACTATATATTCATTCTTTATAGAATAAAATATTTTAAGTTGTCTACAATAGATTCACGCTGAAATTTTTAGTCTTCTGTATATGTTTATCTATTTGAATTTCAGGGGTTTCTGACCTAAGTATCAAGTGTCAAAGCCACTATTTTCTTTTCTCCCAGTATATATAAACAATGTATCTGAACACACAGAGTTTTTTCTGCTTTTAGTTCATTAGAATACCTTTGTTCCCTCTAAACCTTTTTTTCCCAAGATCCTAAGTAGCAAGCTACACATATGTGGTTATCCAGCTGCAGTGTATGAAGAATATAGAAAAATTCTGGAACATAATTTCCAGTTATTTGAGTTATCAACAGTGAATTCTACTTAGTTTAATGCCTGCATCTCAGATGACTGCTTTTCAAGAACTGTTTGCTTTTTTTCCAGAATGTCAAAGACACCTTATCTTCATTCTGTCCTCTGAAGTTAATGAGATGCCTGCTTGTATGTTGAGATAACAATAAATCAAATTTCACATGTTTTTTCTATTTAATATCTTCAAATTATCCCTTCCATCCTGGTATCTCTTTACGATTAACATGTTTAATTTCAAAGGGTCTCAAATCAAACTGTGTAAATGGATAATAAAAGAATACCACATTTTCCTATGAGCCTTTCTACCAGGAACTCATCCTCAGTGAGCTTAATAACCTTCTTCAGCTACTCAGTGGAATATACTGAGTATACTTACTGTATACATACCAATTCTGTAGCCTAGTGTAGAATAGGGTGATTTCGTCTAACCTAAACCATGACTCAAATTAAAGTTTTTTACACTTTCTTCCATAGCCAGACATGTAATGGTCTAAGTAAAGACACAATTTTCAAAACAGTCGTGCATCTTTTCACGTGTTATCTCTGTAAAGTTAGAAATTAGTTGTCTTTGTAGAATTAGATCCTAAAACTACAGCAATCATAACAAGCATATAAACTGGATTTTTAATGCAACATAACTGGGCAGATGGGTTACATTCCCTGCAATGTTATTTACACAAACAAAAATGAAATTCAGTATGGGGATCGACATAGCAACAGGTATATCTGCTACTGTTATGAAACTTGTTAGAAGAAACCTAGCATTGACTAATTATGAGATCTTGTAAAAAGTGTATAGCTTTATCTTTCTTTTTAATTTTTTTCCCCAGAAAAGCAAACTTTCCTAAAAATCCAATAAAGAAAGAATGTCTACACTGTGACCTATGGAAAATAGCTTTCCTGGAACATCCAATTTCTTCTGTAGGTCAGACTAGGCTATAGTATAACTTTTACAGTGCAGTGCTTACCTTTCTAGAGAGCAGATGGAATCCTGGAATATGTCTCAGGGGAGAAACATGCCAAAAAAATGGACTCCAAGCCTGAGGCACCTGCACAAAACATTTTACTCATCACATGAAAAACATTAAAAACATTTCAGGTTTTAGACCGCTATAGGTAGTTTAGGTAATATCGTTCAGTCCTCACCACTTCTGTAAAATGAGAAGCAGTTTGACCAGCTTTTTTCGCTATTTAAAGTTTTACCCCAAAACAATTATGCAACAGATGGATCTACATTTGTCTTCAAGGGCTTTCTGTAACAGGAAGACACTTAGTTCAGCACTAGAACAGGTGTTAGAGAACATCAAGGGTTCAGAATGAAGTATTTACTAAAAAGAACTGCAACTGCTCATGAATTTTTAATCAAAGTACTGTAAATACAATCCTATGTTCAATTTTGTTATTTTTTTTTAATCAATTAAACAAGCAAATAATTATGGGAACTACCAGTAGAACAAATTCTATGAGAAATTCTTTTGTTTCTTGGAAAATGGGGGAAAATAATACTGCAAGGAAGGATTTTTGAAAAGCCAAAAATATATCAAGGCTAGTAAATTAATAAAACCCCAAAACCCAAAACACTGAAGTTGTTATAGGAAGGGTTAATTACCAGATTTTAATCAGGTTTCTGTTTTCATTTGTCATAACTAGGTCATGTCAAAAGATGGCTAAAAAGGTTTCATTGACATTTGCCTATCGCAAATGAATCAAAAGATTCGCTGGAATAAAATAAGCATATAAAGTTGACACTTGGATTTACTTTACTTTGCTATGCAAGCTTCCTTCAATTACTGGTCACATGTTCACTCAAAGTCCATTTAGATAAACATAAGCAGCAGCTGATTCTGCCTTCCAACTGATACTTCTAGAGGTACTTCTAACCTTATTTTCAAGGATTTTGTAACATTTTTTGTAATTCTGTATAGAGAGTGGTGTAAAGGAGTTTAGTTTTAAACTTGGACTCTAGGACATATTATGGTTTGAATTACAGAACTATAAAAGCTTGAATTACAGCATAGGCAAAAATGTCTGGAAAACCACAGAATAAGACCATAACAGTTATAAGCAAATAGCATTTCCTGACTTATAGGTTGTTGACTCAGAAGACATTTCATTTCATCAAGAATTTTACAATGATAAATTATTTTCATGGATATAGTAACGCCATATTAAAGTTCTAGATCCTGAAATTTAACATAGATTGTAAATACCCTTCTTTTACTTATAGATACTAACCATATGGGCTGCCTGTGTATTCCTCTGCTCACTACACATTAGCTGCAGATAATCTCCTTGTCTTTACTGTGAAAGCATATAGAACATATTGGTTTACAGGCAGCTAGTTCGAAAAATAATCTTTATAAAAATGTGTAGATTGTTTCCGTTAATCAATCAATTCAGATAGTCCATCAGACTTCTTAGCAATGGCTCATGCTTTGCTGATACAAAGGTCCGGAGCTATTTTTTGACCAAGTAGTGCAGGACAACATTTCAGAAACTACCCTTGTTTCATATGAGACTCTGAGAATTTTGGCATTTGCCACCGGATATACTATCACTATAGAAGCCTGATAATTCTGTATGTGATTCGAAGTGATTAAATACTGAAATTGCTAAATCTTCCTCAACAGGCCTGGACTTCATATAATTGCCTGAATTTTTTTTTTTTTCCCTCGGGAAGAGGGCAATATGTTTTCTTTTTCCAAATTGTTATAGAAAAGATTATCTCAAATTTTACTTCCCAACACTTCAAGTGAAAAACTTCTCTGAAAAAATACCTTGAAATGATAACAGAAATGTTCACCTGATGGGGGATACATCATAT